GGTAAAAAAAGTGTCTCTAAAGATATGAAAACCACTTGGTTTTGTGATGGGAAATAAGGGTCCCATTCCCCTTGGTTCCTTGAAGAAACTTGGCATGTAAAAGCCAATCCTTTTAATATGATTGACCTCGATCGAAAGGACAAAAAAGTAACTCTTTTCCTGGTTCATTATTGACTTTCTCAGTGAGGACAATATTTAGAAAAAACTTATTTTTTTCTAAGATTTCAAGCAAGTCTATTTGCAGAAAACATTTTACATCGTATTTGGACAAAAGAAAAAAAAAAGAAAGGATGTACTTCATGATTTGACTGGCTTATCATTGTCAAGAACTTTGCCTTTAGTCCCCAGTTCTGATTGTCAAATATTTGCAATGAATTTTAAAAGAGTTAAAATTCCCGTAGACTTACTGCATGAGTTCGTGTTGAAGAATCATGTGCAGAAAAGGAGTTATGACTTTTTAGATAACCCACCAGTGACAAACTTCTCAGCTGCACAGCAAACTCAATTCCCTTTTGATTTTATACTGCACTTTAATTCCCGGCACATCTAGGTGTGAGATCAGAATCCAGATAGAAATGCCAGCAGAAATCAGGAGGGAGGAAGATGTCATTCCCATCTACATGAGACATCTTTCACATTGGGAAAGTGGTCAAGGGACTCCACCCCACACTGCTGTAACAACATCCTCCTTTCTCTCCTCCTCACATCTTTAGTGTCAGGACAGGCATCTGCCATGCTGAGAGCCCAGTGCTCTCTTGCTCTGGCTTGGACGCCGTCCTGCAAAACAGCCTCCTCCAGAGCAACCTGACCAGCTTCTTCGTTTAAAGCATCTCATTCAGTCTATATTCTCTTGATGTGTTCCTATAGCACCCAATTTAATGCATCAAAACAACATACCTCTGAGCACTCATAATAGGCTAACATAACTGCAATTGCCTACAGTATAACTGCTGTGATATTAAAGCTGTAATAAAGCTATTTTAATGAAATGAAATGCATCCATTTCAGAAACAAATCCAGTACTAGAGGAGGAAGAGAACAGAGAGATCAGAATTAGTATTTCCTTTTCTGATATCTCTTTATTTTAGAAAATATTGCACACATGAGTTACACAGGTTTGGATAATGAGAAATGTACATCTCTGCATTGGATGTCTTTCAAAGCCATCATTCATGAAATGTATACCAAACAATTACAGAACAATAATTGTTATATATCCTGGGAGAAATGAAACCAGACAGTCAAATTTAGTCCACAATGTGTTTGAAAGGCAATTCCTCTAAACTGAATTTGTTCATGTTGCAGGTAGTGCCCAATCAATTATGGAATTTATGCTTTTAACATGCATTTTAAATGCAACTGATAAATAGAGTCACAGGAACATGAGAGGATTTCTATACTGCTTGGTTGATCAGATTTCACAATATGTCATCCAGGATAAAGCTGTGTATGTGCTGAAAATGCTGTAGGCAGGGCACTTGCAGGGGGAATGGGTACATCAAATGTGCTGCAAATCCCCTTCTTCTTGTCAGGGTTCTCATCCAGTGTCACTGACTGCAAGGCTCCTTCTGCCATCAGTGAGAATGGGAATCAGTTCACCTTCTTTCTCTACATGAATATTAAACCCAGACTAGAGACTTCAAAATATTTTTGTTGCCAAACAACTTTTTGAGTAATACATTTTTCTTTCTCTTCTACTCTCTCACAATCCCTTTGTTTACAAGCATTGAAAATAATTTGAGTTATATGATAGTTATACAGAAAGTCTAGCAGTCTCTCGAGTAGTATACTGTATAACATACATTGAAGAAAGCAGAAGTCTCAAGCAAAAGGAGTAAAGAAAGCTGTGAAAGAAGGCAAATCATGAAAGGAATTCAACCTCCAGCTTTTAGCAAGCTGAAATTGTACAGCAGAAGGAAACTCTAAGGGTAAAATCCTGCTACACACCAAGACAGCAGAAGGTCTGTCTACCATTTAATCCTCAAAGCACATCACCATTTAGGTGCTAAGCCCTCCTGCTGGATCACGATGCAGAAGTGATTATCGTCCTTGGAGAGTATGCTGCAGAGATCTTCTCTCTGAGTTGATCTTGAAATGATCCCTTTCGTCTTACAACGCAGGAAGTATTTTCCATCCTGACCTGCAGTCATTCACTACCACACATTTCTGTGCATACTTATAATACAAAGGCTGGAATGCTGGACAAGGAAAACCAATTTTTCCACTCTTTTATAACTGCAGGCCTATGTTGACCTGAACATGAGGTCACTGAGAGAAGGATTTGGGCTAGGAAAGTGCAAAGAAAAGAACTACCCTTCTGAGTTTGTGGGAGTCCTTCTTTCACAAAGGAAGTGAGGGAAACTCCATAGCATGTGACATTACAGTCATCTAACTTCATCCCACATGAAAACAAGAGGAAAACCACGATTGTGGTTTCAAAGCAGTCTAGCTGGAGGAAATGGAGAGTGAGCATCTGAAGGCACCACTGGGATCCTAGAAGGCAGGAAGGCAGACTGTCCTTTGGACCGTGAATGGGTGTGTTTGTTCACATTAGCACATGGTGCAGGTTTTACAACCTGTGCACTTTGCTTGGTGTAAGATACTTTCCAGATTAGGGGGAGGGGCTGGGTACCTGGACCCACATCGCTACCCACATATGAGGTCTGACCCTGCCCTCTCTAAAGAGAGTGACAAAACCAATGCTACCATGAGCACTGCAAGGCTCTTGAATTTGCACGCCTCTTTACAGAGGTGCGGCAGTTGCTGGGCAGTGCACTGGGACTCAGCTTGGCAGAGTCTGCAGGCACCTCTGCTCAGCTGGGGATGCAGCTCACCCCCCATCCCTCCAGACCTGCCTCCTCACCCCTGTTGCCATGGAGCAGGGAGGACAGCCAGGCAGCTGACAAAACCTAACAGAATTTAATGTTGAGGACTGTGAGGTGGTCATTATGTGGTAACAGGGAGTATGTAAGGATCTCCAGTAATTATTTCATTTAAATTGAGGGCTTTGAGGTTCCTGAGGGAGTTTTTTTTAGCAACCAAACCTCAGTAAACTGTTGTGTCATAGTAGCATGGTGGCAGGACTGCTAAATGACTAAGACAGCCCTGGTCATTTTGTGTTCACTGTGCAGATATCCAAGTATTTTTAGCATTTCAATATTTTGCAGCCCAGGCAGAGCTTCCTCTTGCTTCCCACTGTCTTCAGTAGTTGCAAGCTCTTTGCTTCAACTGAAATTGACACCAGTGGTCTGAAGACGCTAAACTGTGCTCTTGTGGCCACAAACAGAATGAACTATGGTTATTTAAAAAAAAAAAAAAAAAAAAAAAAAAAAGATAGGTTATCATATAGCAGAAATATTAGCTCACATTACAGGAAAACAGTAGAGAAAGGTACATGCTTTCCAGTTTTGTTCTTCGTAATGGTTGGCATAGCTTTTCAAGCTTACCTTTCAGAAACCAAGGCTACCTCTGGTAGCCCTACAGATGTCTGCTCTCTACTGATGTTTCTTGAATAGACTCAACCAGTGTGTCCCAGTTACTGAAGCCACACTGACCGCTCACTCACTGGTGCTCCTTCTCTGCAGGGATAATGCACATCCTGCCTCTGGCTATATTTCATACCAGTGATGAGGCTCTAGGACAACTGCTCTTCACTGCCCAAGGAACTAAAAGGTAAAACCTGTCCTCGGAGGAACACAATTTCTCTGATGCTGAAGCATCCGTTACAATTTGGAGAACTTCTAGCAGAGAAACAACAGTTGGTTTTTGGAGGTGGGCTGTGGACCATGTGTAACTGAGGCAGCCTCATCTTTGCCCTGCAGATAGACAGGCCACACCACCTCTTGTGTGGAGTATGAACTCTGCCTTTTTTCACCTCCCCCTAACTGGCAGGTTGTCTCTGAAGGCCACAGGTGGCAGGGATCCACCTTCCTTATTTCTGTGCCTGTAAACTGCAACACAAGGAAAGGTGGCCAGCAAACCTTGCAGTGAGGCTTACACTGGTTAGGATCTTCTGTCAGGAAAGAAAAAACAGAAACAGGAGGCAAAGATTGGAAGGCTGCAAGAGGACCTATGTTTCTCCCTGCTTACAGCGCAGTGAGGACCATACTGCAGGCAGAGGTAAATAAATACACATCGGAGACCTATCAGCTGCAGGACCAGGACTTTGGGCTGAATTTCTCCCTTAGCACCAACTTTGTTGCAGGGGAATGCAGGAAAGATGGGCTGCAATGCTTGAGGCAAGCTTTTGGGTGAGATCTTAACAAACTTCAAATGAACCTCACCGTGGATTTCCCACTTTTGAAAACATAAGGTTCTGTACTTGACAGGAGTTAGCCCTTCTGTGTAACATGAGATGTGGGCAGCTGCCGGTGGTCCTGCAGCCTACTGTTTTGACTCTGTCAATGTTATGTTCATGACTGTCAAAGAGCAGGTGGAAGTTAAAAGGAAAAAGAAAGTGGCCTATGATTTCAGAAACATCCTTTTTCTACAAAAGGGAGTATAAGAAAATAAAACACTAAACAGTATCCCCAAAAAGATGGAATTTTGCAATTCTTTTTTCTTTTAAATAATACTTGAAAACATGAGGAAGGGAAGAAAAAAGGTAAAGGCCAAGAGTGTGAATGCAGAAGGACATGGAGAGACCAGCTAGGAAGGGAAGTGCTGCCAGCGAAATGTTGGTTTGCTTTCCCTGGGGAACTCTGTGCTCCTGGAAATGCCTAACATAGGTACTGAGTTAGCACAGCCAGCACCCTTGCCAACCCAAGGAGTCCAGGCTTGGTGGTCAGGGTTCAGCCCTGTCATTTGGGAGGTATAATCCCACTCAGGGAGGTATAGCCCACTGCAGGGAAGTGCAATCCACACCTTTTGCTTGGCAGAGGAACAAGCTGTTTCTCCTCCCTCTACAGTGGGGCTTTGTGTGGAGCCACTGTTCAGGAGCCCATGGGCCAATCTGAGTCAGTCTGGATGGGTGGACACAGGGGACCACCCAGGCACGTTCCTCAGACCGATGGGGTGGCCACAGCCTTCTCGTACATGCGCTCCAAGATGCGGTGGATGCTGGCGAAGCCTGGCCGGTCAGCAGGCAGCTTGCTCCAGCAGAGGCGCATCAGGTTGTAGAGCTCCAGGGGACAATTGTCTGGGCAAGAGAGGACGTTCCCATCCCTCACATAGTAGATGACCTCCTCGTGAGCCATTCCATAGTAGGGCTGCATGCCATAGGAGAAGATCTCCCACAGCACCACCCCATAGGCCCACACATCAGACTCTGTGGTGTAGCGGTTGTAGAAAATAGACTCAGGGGGCATCCAGCGGATGGGGATGGCATCATTTTCATTCGCTTTGTAATAGTCAGCTGAATACATGTTCCTCGAGAGACCAAAATCAGCAATTTTGACCACCATGTTCTCCCCCACCAGGCAGTTCCTGGTAGCCAAATCCCGGTGGACAAATTTGCGCTCAGAGAGGTACGCCATGCCAGCAGCCACCTGCTTGGCAATGCAGAGCTGGCTGGTGCAGCACAGCGCCAGGGGGTTGGGGAGGCGGATCCGTGCGTCTAAGCTACTGTGCACCAGGCTGCAGAGGTTGCGGGGCGAGCGGTCACGCAGGTATTCATTGAGATCCCCATAGGCCATGTACTCGAACAGCAGGCACATCGGTTTCCCAACAGCACACACACCTGGAAGAAGATAGATGCACCATGTAGGTCATTTGGGTAGCAAATAGGGTTCTGCTGTGCAAAACCAAAAAAATCCAGAAACGGTTACACAAAGGGGAGACTTTCAACAGTGCATGAAGGGACACAGAGAAAGGTGAAACTTGCAAACACCATCAAGTTTGCATGCATCCCTTTGTGTCTTTGAAGCTCCTTCATGAGGTATGTAATGCTGAGCACTGTGGGAAATGCTAACAAGTCATGCAGTTGCCTGATTTGTCTGAACATCATAAGAAAAAGATGCACTTTTGAAGGTACGTTTAATTAAGACCCGAATCCTGCTTAAGCTGGCATTAACAGAAGAATTTCCTCTTCCTAGGTGCAACTAGAAGGACAAACTTTCAGGATGTACCCTTTATAGTTCTGATCATGGTATTTTTTAATTCTTTTGTTTGTTGTAATTATTGTACTTCTACTGATATGGGTGTAGGGGATACACATATGCAGGAAGACTTCAGGAGTAATCACATGGGGGCACGTTCAAGAATTCAGTGGCATACTTGAAACGCAAAGACACTCCCATTACAACTTCTGGATTTTATTTTTTTTTAAACAGCTCATGCAAAAAATGTTGGTTGTAGAAATTACTTTTGGCATGACAGATACTCAAAAATGAAAGAAAGACAAAGAAAAGACAGACATTAGAAGGGAGAGATCTGCCACATCTGATAGATGCAGAACCTAGTGCCACTGAAGGGCACGTGCTTGGCCCTACACAACTTTACTGGGGGCCAGCATCAGTACAGACCCCACTCCCACCAGTTTTACTGAGCATAGAGTGATATGGCAAAAATATTTGCATGCCTATTATTAAATTGCCAACCAGTAAAAGCCAGCATTTAAGATGTATACATTTTGCTTTCCTAGGGCCATCATTTAGCAATTGGTAATCCAACTTATTGTGAAATCTGAAATTCTTGTTGATGTCCTAACACTTGAATCTTTGAGGAAAAACAGATAGCTGTTCGCAGTGTGATAAAATCAGGATCTGGCAAGCATGAGAACTGTATCTGAGAGCTTTATCGTCTCAGCCGTCTTCAACAACATGACTGTTTTCTCCACACCCCCACAATGTGAAACTAGTTTGTTTCTGTACCTTTGCCCTTTAGTGACCTAAAATGTGTTGACAAAACCCACAAAGTTTATGTGACTTTGGGGCATTTCCCACCTTTATTTTCTGTAACCAAAGTACTTGTGTCAACCCAGCTTTCCCAAAACTGGGATTTATCTTTTTCCAAATTTTGTGTTGCTTCCTATTGAAATAAATTAAGATCTCAGCTGCCTGTTCACAAGGATCGCATGTGCATACAACAGCTTAGAGCAGGATTGCTAGGCGAAGGTGGCTAGCAACATCTATTTCAGACAAAAACTGAAAATTTACTGAAAGTAAATTTGGTTGGCAGCTTACTTCACAGAAGAATGCCCTATTAGCCAAATTGTGGCATCAAGACTTTCTACAAAACTCAATAAACCGAGGTTTCCTTTTAGCTGGGAAGGGAGGGAAGAGACCATTTTTTGGAGTTGACTTTTTTTGTTTATTTGTTTAATTTTGCTTTTTTTAATGCTGGTGAGTGTTCAGACATCACAATAGTAAGTGGGACCCATAAAACTAACAAGACTTGTGCCTAGTTTTTTTAAGTACCCACAAAATAAATCACAGCTCCAGGAAGCTCATGCCTTCCCTGTAAGACATCTGTGCCAATGTTATTAAACTGGAAGCAGGACTAGGCAGCAAGATGGCCAACACTATACTCAATGCAGAATGAGGAGGGTTTATTACAATGCACCATCCTGCTAAGGTAACAGCATCAGACCTACATTTTGAGACTTCTTCTGGTGGACAATTTAGCAAAGCACACTAAAGTTCACCTCTTTTGCAAGAGGCATTTACTCTTGCAAAAGAGACCAGCATTGCCATTTGCATCAAGTGCCAGTCATGCATGTGTGTTCATCCCTGCACCCCCAACAACCCCACAGCAGATTCGCAGAAGGTGGTACCCTGTACGTGAGCACCTCATTCAGATACCTAAAAGCTTGACGATATTTGGATTGTCAAACTCTGCCATGAGGGCTGCCTCCCTCTGAAAGTCAGCCTGCATATCTGCAGATGCTTCCTCCTTCAGCATTTTCACTGCCACCATTGTGAAAGGCTCATAGGGCAGCAGCCCTGGGGCCCTGCAGGGAGAGAAGAAAAAAGCAAGCATCAGTGATGGATGTGTGCACACCAAATGTGGTCTTTGTTTCTGGTGCAAAAGGACAGACTGACAGGGAAAAAAAAAAAAAAAAAAAAAAAAAACAACAACAACAAAAAAAGGTGGAAGGCCCCAACACTGACTGAAGGAACATGAAAGACCATCTTCACCTCTCGGGTACATCTGCATTGCATAGCACAGAGACATTTAGTTTAGTTCAGGAGGGACTAAATCCAGCATAGCTTTTTTGATCACTGCTCTTTCTGCTTACAGGTTCTTTACTATGACTGGTAAAGAGATAAATAAAAAACACGTTGGTAAGCAATTACCTCTCCCTGGGTTGGAGGTCACATCAGAATCTTCATGGAGGGCAGGATGAAATAGTTACAGTCCTACAAGTTTTGTGGAAACAGGTGACAGGACAGAAGGGACAAAGCATATGTAAGCCCTGTCTGAAGAACAATGTAATGCATGAATACACCCATATTAAGACACTGCTGAATCTTCAGCTAGAGCTTAGACACACAAATCCATAGGAAACAGAGCTTCCTGACTTAGAGCAATCACAGACTCATTTTGTTTTCTTATCCGCAGGTCACTGCACTGTCAACAAGTTCAAATGAAGGGGCTTGCCAAAGACTTAGAGGTAGCAGTTGCCAAAGAAGAGTAACTTTCCCTCTTCAAACGTGTCTTCAAAGATGTGCATTTTGTTGCCCACTGGACTTCTTCCCAGGGGTCCTGCAGTTAAAACATGCTTGTTACAGGTAGCCAGCCAGAGCCCATGGAGAGCAGCACCTATTTACGTGTTGTGTTACAATGTCAGCCCCACTGCCCTCCCATTGCTCAAATGACAGGTTATATTACTGTTCAGTAGCCTCGAGAGGAGGTTCCGATTTCCAAAGCAAACTTCCAGTTTCCCTGTCATCTACTCCAGACATGTGGCAGTTGCAACAGTTGCACTTGGATGCTTTAAATGTCAAATGTCAGAAGATGGCAGGGTGCCCATCCAGAAAGGAATCTCACAGGTGGCCAGATCGTAGCTGGGACACTCAGGCAAGGAGGTCCAGCACACCAAAGCAGAGAAGCAGACTCCACACTTGTCTGCAACTGCCTCCATTACAGCAAAATGTCTTCCTTATTTTCACCCGTGTTGGCAGCAAGTTTCCAGACTAGCAGAAGGGGGCAAGTACCACCACCTACCAGCTGCTGTCTAATCTCAGCGCTAGTCAAAATCAGCAGCAACAGCCTGAAGAAACCAGTAGAGCTTTAAAAGTAAAAAGAGGAGGAGAGCCTTTATCTCTTCCAAACAGCCTCATTGTAGATTACCACTCATCACTGACTAGCAGACCTTGTGTGGACCTAGTGCACTGCCAGAGCAGGGGCAAGCACAGCTCCATCTTGCATGCTTCAGAGAAACTCACCTGAGGCTAAAGCCTGAAGTACACCCATCCATCTACTCTTCACTGAAATCTGTAAACTAACCTAACCTAAATGTAACTTAAGTGTGATTAAGCTGCACAAAGCCTTTTAACGGGCCTTCAGGCAACAGCAAGTAATTTCTCCTTTGGTAACTTGTGCGCTACTTCAGCCCAGTTCTTAGCAGACCTGGGAAAATCACACTGATCTGGAGCAGAAACAGACTCTGTTTGTAGTCTCGGCGAAGAGCTGTTGAAGATGACCCCTTTGGTGCCCAAAAGACAGTCTTTCCACAAAGAGATAGGGGCATATCTGCAAGGGAGCAATGGGAAACTGCTGCTTCTGAAATTAACCAGGAGGATTCAGGTGCAGGCCAGAATGTGGAGTGTTTTCTAGAAAATACACAGATTTCTTCTAGAAGTGGGAAGCCTCAAGACAAATTACCTTGGGTTTCCTCTCTCATGATTATGTAAATGCTTCTCTGAAATGTCCACTCTTTGCACACGAGATGGACAGCAGCTGTCCTCGCCTTCTTCACCATCAATGGATTTGTGCAACACTGGCAGCATTTGGCTTTTAGGTATTTGCCATTCAAAGAACTAACCAGCAGTGCAGTTAGGGATTTCACCACAAGCCTACCTACAGAGAGTGCCTGACTTTAAGTTTCCAGTCAGGTTTTCTTTCCAGAGCAATAACTGTGAAAAAACTGAGTAGCAGCTTGAACCTGTGTTTGAGATTGTGTCCTGTCCCCAGTCTTCCTTAGCATCACAGCTGGGTAGCTTCTGTTAGATTATTAAACGATGCAATTAGCATCTACTGAGGTTGGTGGGGACCTACCTTTACTCTGTCCTTTGGAGCAATTTGTATGCTGGCGGGAGAGCAATCTGAATTGGCAGGGGCTTGTTTTGTTGTGTATTTTTTTTAATTAACATCCACACAGTTTTTCAGCTGTATTCGAGACAACAGGTCAAAGAAACACTCTTTGCACTTGGAAAGAACATGAGGAGACTTCTGTGAGAGAAAAATCTAATCTTAGTGACAGCCTTGTTTCTTGCAGAGACGATGAGCTATGCTTTTGCAGTGGGGGTCTACTGGCTATCTACTGGCCTGCTAACAGAGACCCCCCATCCAGGCTTTTAGGCAAACCTGGGCTTCAGGCTTAGCCTGCACCATGCAGCTCCAGCTCTGGGAGAAAACTTGCATGCTGGTCTGCATTGAACCACACAGGACTGATGCTCTGGTGGCATATGGGGCCAGCATTGTCCTCCCAGGGGCAGAGAATTGTGACTCAGCGATCACAACACAGTCAGAAAAGATCTGAGCCAGGTCCTGAATCTTTTTTTAAGGACATCAGTTAGAGTAACTGGTTACTTCCTCATCCTTTCCAGTGTGAAGCTGCTCCCAGTGAAGACGGCAGCCTTTCAGGAGAAGCTGGTAAATGATAGCCAGACGCTTCCTGTCCTAACATGTTGCTTGACCCAGGAGCGAGTAAACACTGAATCAAGACTCACAGCAAGCCAACTGGCAGAGGCTTAGCTGGCACCAGGCACAGAGCTGTGTTTACAGGAGGGGGAGAAACATGAGACCAGGAGAAGTAAGAGAGTTGCTAAACTTAGCTTGAGATGTCCATTTAACACATGTAGACAAGTACATTTTATCCATCTGAGACAGGAAGGCAACTATTTGAGCTGTGATAGCTTCAGTAACCTGGAGGGATGCACAGCTGGCACTACTGTATCAGCAGTCTGCTCTGATGTGCCAGAGGTGCACAGAAATGCCAGTAGCTTAAATATTCCCTGGAAATAAAAGGCTTTGGAAGGACTTTTGACAGAGATATTAATAAAAATATGGAAGCCCCTCAGAAGCAATATCTCTGTGTCTCCTTCCCTGAGCCACAGAGAGCAGGGGCTTCTCAGCATATGGTACTCTCCGCATTGCAAATGATGGCTAAGAAGGTGTGTTGCCTTTTCCCTCCTCCTTTTCTCCCAGTTTCCACTGACAATAACAAAAAGGTTTAATTACAAGAAATTACAGCACTGGGGTGGATGAAATCCACATGAAAGGTCTCTACACCACTTTAGCACTTGCTTTAGTGATATTTGAATGCCTGTTGAAAGGTCCTGTTCAATGTGGGTGAGAGTCATTTCCAGCTCAGAAAGACCTGTGAAGCATTTAAATTATATTGAAGTTCCCAGCACAGGGCCAAACCAGGAAGACTGCCTGCTCCACTGGAACAGCCGCAGTGTGGTGAAGATCCCCACCATGCAAGTAGGAAGGTGACACTCCGCAGGGCATCCCAAGCGCTGTGCTGAGGCTGGGACGAGGGCTGCCCTGTGCCCCTGGACCAGCTGGTGCACGGCACCCCGACCACAGCTGTGGCACCATTCCTACAGCTTTGTTCTCGTTTCAAGCACAGAAGCGTTTGGCTTCACCACACAGGCTATCAATCACAGACTAAGCATCTGTGATTTTCCCACTGCATGCCCTTCAAACCTTGTTATTTTTAGCTCTCTCTGTATTAAAGAAAAGTATGCCTGCATTTCTTCCATTAGAAAAAATGCATCCCTTCATTAGAAAAAAAATCCGTCACAGCTATTGAAACTGTTTCCCTGCTCTAACACATTTAACCTCCATGTCATTCATTTCCCAGCAGATACATTAACAGCATGACTATAAACATTAGAAGTATCTGCAATTATGACTGCTTTTTGCAACGAGAGTCCTTTGTCTTTGAAGTCAATGGGAGCAGTTCCACCAGACAGGTCGTGGCCTGTGGTGGAACTCTGATACTCCCCTGTTTTTTTTGAGGTCATCACACACTACTCCAGATATGGCTACAAAATCAGCAACATCCCAGACTTGTTAACTGTAAAGGACAAAGAAAACCATCCTGAGTAAACATGAAACTGGCCAGTCTGTTCATTTTCTTTCAGGAATTTCGGGATGGGATTTTCCAAGGAGACCAGTACTGGCCAAAGACTGTCCTGTAGAAATTATGGATTCTGTCAAGGCTAACAAGACACACCTCCACCCAGTCTAGGCAGGACTGGGCTCACCTCTAGGTTTTTCAATGAAACATTTTTCGCATTTGAAGAAATGCATGATCTCACCTCCTCAAAGATGTAACAGAACTGGGATCTCATCTAATACCTTAAATTCAAAACAGGCAAAAATGGCTGCAAATTCAAGAATAAAAAAATGAGCAACTAAAGGGGACACACAGAAAAAGAAAATTGTTGGCCTAAGTGGGTTGGGTTTTTAGGGGATTTTTGGTTTGGTTTGGTTTTGCCACCGAATCAAATGGAAACTGGGTCAGGACCTAACTGTAGCATGACACATTGCCCTCCATGGTAATTACTCGCCACTGTTGGTGTTATAATGGAGGACACCACACACTGACAATTTGGAAATACTGGAAAATGCAAGAATTTCACAACCAATCACATGTCAAGGTCATACTCTTGGCAAAAACAGTGATGATATATTTAGCTAAGCTTTTACATCAGACTTGGGTATGTGAGTAAGACATTACATACACTAGAGAGAAGAACAGGAGAGTCATTTGTGACAAAAGTTTAACAAATATCAACAGAAAGCAGTTGTCCTGGTTTGGCTGAAACAGAACTATTTCTGCTTTCAGTAGATTTTTTTTTTCCCTTAAGTTTCTTAGTAACTGCCCTGCCTGGAGCTGACTACAGGCTTCAGGCAGTGCCTGCTGTCAGAGCTGATGGCAGTTAATGTCTGTAGTTGTTGCTGGGGCAGGAGCAGGATTGTTATGCAGAAAGGCCCACGGGTGGGTGCTTGTTCCCTGCGGGCTCTCTTGGGCTCCGCTGGGCTCCTCGTGGGGGGAAGGTGGAGGAGGGGTCGCACCCCCAGAAGCTGCAGAGGGGACAGGTGACCCAGGACTGGCCAATGCAGTATCCCATCCCACTCACGGGAATACTCGGTGTAAAGCTCGGGGATCACGGGATCAGCACTCTCTTCCCCTCACGGCCGGCGTCCCGGTGGGCCCCTGCTCGCTCCCCGTTGTCCCGCCTGCTGTGGAGCCTAGTTCTGTGAGGTTTGGGTACCTGTCCTGTCCTGTGAGCACTGCGAGCTGTTGCAGCATGGTACGCGGTCCTGTGGTCATCATCGGGAAGGACAGTATCGGTTTTGTGTATTTCTATTATTGGTAGTATTAGTTTTAATATTATCTATACTCTTTTCACTGTTTTTGTTTTATTGAAGTTTGTTTTAAGTTTCCAACCCGCCAGTCTCTCTCCCTTTTCTCCTCTCCTTCACCCTCTGGGAAGGGATGGGGTTAACAGAGAGCATCTGCTACTCGCTTTAAGCGCCGGCCCAGCCAGTGACAGCAGTGGACAACAGAAACAATTATTCAAGTCCAAGTGTACCATTTGGTACACAAGCATTTGATTCTGGTTTGAGTGAGTGAATGATTTCCAGTGCCCAGATAAGTGGTTGCCCAACTGCCAGTTTTTCCCATGTACCTCTAGATAAAGACGATTCACACACAGGCTGCTTACCTTGCTTGGAAGACTCTCCCAAATGCTCCTTCCCCAATATCTCTCACGTATTCAATATTGTTCCTGGGGTACTCCAGGCTAAGCAATTTCGGATTGAGGAGAAGAGGCATCCGCTGGTACATTGGGTTGGGGTGCAGCCGGTCCAGGAGGAGTTCAGAGGGCAGAGTGGTGAGTGTTGGTGTCTCTGACTCTCTGAAACAATGGAGCAATTTGCGGTCAGTGTGTGCACAGCCCTCAACCAGGAGATAACTATCTGCATCTCCTCTGGGGCTGTTTTTTTCCAGGATGGAAAAGGGAAGTGCAGCAGGGCTGTTGAAAGAGCCTTGCAGCAAGGTGTCATGCCATGTTCCCAAAACAGTCACCAGTCCACCTTCTGATCTGGCATAGGGACTCACCAGATCTTGCACTGGGTTGCCACCAGCAAAGGGAAGGCTGCTGTCCCACTACCAAGCATTCACAGGACTGTGCTCTCAGAAACAGGCAAGCCCTCTTCCAAAGCAGCATTTGTTGCCTTGAATTAAGTCTCAAGCTCTACCTTTTTTTGTTTTTCCACTGCTTTCGCCGACGGCAGCAAACCAGGGTGACAGTGCCGAGGATCATGACCAGAGCAAAGCTGGAGATGATTGAGATGATAACAGTCATGGAGTATGTAGGGGAAAAGGGAGGAGGAGGGGGGAGATTTGGAGTGTCTCCATTTGGTTTTCTTGTTCCTACTGATAACAATGCTGTAAGGCAAACAAAGTCAGAAGGTTAGGCCTCTGCTAGTTTATAGGGCTTTCTCTAAGAGGTATTTACGGAGTCAGCCTGATGTCCTGGGAAATACTGACATTACGGATATAACCGTATGGCAGCATGAGAGGATCACACTGGGGAAGCCTGGTTTGCAGGAAGTAAACCCAATTTCTGCTTGCCAAATGTGAAAACTGAGTATCTGGGGAAGGCCAAGACGCAGTTCCCATTGAGCTGGGATTGCAATTTTGGTAAGAAATGTTTGCAGGAGTTACAGATGGGAGATCACATCTGATGGTCTCAACAGTATTCAAACATAGTAATGTCTGCAGTGGGAAAGATCAATGGTCTACAATGTGGACCACAACGTATCATGTGTTCTAAAAGGAATCTGCAGGGAGGAGTGTAAGACCAAGTAAGTACACAGTGATACTTTCCTGAAATATCCCCTTGCCTCCAATAATTTGCATCTCACTGTCTTTATGGGGCAATTATGGTAAACCAGTGTAAAATACATGTGACTGTATCATTACTAAAAAAATTAGTATTCAGGTAGCCACCTGCTCAGTACTTTCTGAGACATTCTAGAAAATGCTAGTCTGTATATGCAATGATTGAGAACAGAAAGAAATTTAAACCATTCTTTTTAAGGCCAGCTAAGCTGATCCTGACTTGTGTTCCCTGAAGTCCACAACCCCCCTGTTCTCTGTGTAAGCAGAACTGTCTTATTTCTAGACACTGAGGTCCAGAAACCGTGCATTTTGGATTAAATATGTTTCCAAAATTATTCTGTTCTTTGAACAAGAAATAACAGAAAGCCTTAGCTTCAACATCACAGAACAAGGATGTTTCCACCTTTTTCAGAATTGTTTTTAGTTAGAATTGGTTTTTATTGTTGAAAAAAGTCTCCAGGAGCAAAACAACTTTGCAAAATAGTCCCAAACCCTATCTTCTCCTCAAAACACAGTGTGGCAAATCCATTTTTCATAATACCACAGGAAATTTGAATTCACTCTTTGGCCTTAATATAATCTGAGGCAAGGTGCTCGATTTGCCTATCTTCATTTTCCCATCTTTAAGGTTCACGTTACACCTCCTGATAAAAGGTACTGAGTGAACCTATGAGAAGAGCCAGGACTGGCTAAACCCAAAAGACAGAACAGATTGGTGTGGTCATGACTGCTGAGCATGCAAACACCTTGCATGGCCCCAAAACAACCACAGTGGCAGAAATCATAAATTACAGTTGCCTACCATCTCCACAGGGCGACACACTGCAGTATTCCCAGGTCACGGATGGGTCTTTTGTGTAGCACCAGGGACGTTCGTTCTCACCTCCTGGATTGCGGCAGTAATTCTCAGCATCAGACAACTCAGGGAAAACCTGAGGAGTCCTCCTGTGCAAGTGGGGAGCCTTTGCGGAGGAAGTAAATTGGATATTGTTTCAGTATAATTTTTCCTGCAGGTATTAGCAAAACAAAAGTAAACAAAGCAAAGGAGCAAAGAAAGGCAGGGTAAAACAGCCTTTCAGTAGCCTGCCAGAGTGACAGAGAATGCATCTTGCCACAGGCAGGGGAACTTGCATATTGAAATATGAAAAGGGTGTGAAACACCAGTGAACTCAAGAATTAAGGCAACCTGTCCCCTGCTCAGCCCTTCCACTGGGACTGGGTTCCCTGGCTCTGGGAAACCCTTTGGAAAAGTAGACCTTGAGCATGGTTGTCCATTCTGTGGGTCTCACACTGATGCATACCTGGTCACTCCACTTCTGACAGGGAATACCAGAGGCCGTGACATTGGCCCAGCCCTGGTAAAACTGGCCATTGCCACTGTAGCAAGTCACTAGAGGAAAAAAAAACATAGGGTCACTGCATCTCAGACAATGTCCTGCAGAGGGGACTCACAAGAGTGAACTTCATGTCATTACAGGAGAGCACATGGCAATTAGCAACAGATCTGAAGCACGTAAAAGGATCAGTCAACTGCAGGCAGGGAACTGCTTAGCCTCCTGTTCGCACTTAAATGGATTTTGAGCTCAACACATAAGATCAAATCTGGTAAAACTCCAAAGAGGGAACCAGAGCTCTTTCAGATTGACAAAACAAGCCATGCGCTTGCGATGGTTGTGCCACATCTACCCAGTTCACAGCGCTTCCACTCAGAAAGCACAGAACAGAACCACAGTGAGGCCACCCATGCCAATCCAAGGCAGAAGACAAATTGCAGCACTGGCTGCATGATTCCCAGCCTGCACTCTTACAGGGATGCTAACAGGAAGGCATTCATGTTCCTAGGGTAGGTAGCAGAGGGCTGGGATTCATAAAGTCCCACGGTGGTATCCCTCCTCCATGGCACTGTACAGTGCTTGTCCTCTTAGTCTAAATGTTTAGAAACAGGCTATAGTTTCCAGCATGGATAGAAACCACACACTGAAGGCAACTATGGATCTGAAGGAATAGTATCAGCATAAAACAACGTTCTTTATAATGAAGAATGTCTAGTTCACTTTCCATACACAAGGCTAACTCTGGCTGAAGAAAAATTAAGCAGAAGATCTTGAGAGGATTTTACTATAGGAATATGTTCCCAAAACATAAATGTAGACACCACCTGTTCTCATAGGAGACTTTAACGCATGCTGGCATAATCTAGGAAGCAGGAAGACAACAGAGTAGATGTAGCCTTACACACTTGAACACATGGTAGCTAATCTTACATAAAATCTGCTGACCAGAGGCTAACAGTCTGGCTGATGGCATGCATTAGGGTCCACTGCATTATTAACCTTGTTAGATAAATTAACAAGCCAGCAAACACTGTTGTCATAATTTTATTTTACATTGTGTTCTTAAACTTGCAGCGCAGAAAAGGAAAAACGGGAGGAAACCTGATCTGTTCTAAAATAAAGAGTTTTTTAAGCAAATCTTTTTCAGCTTCATGAAAGCTTTGTATAATTTTTGATCCAAGTTTGAGACAAAGGCTATATGTTTTAATTAATCCTCAGATTGTCCTGTTTCTCCTGTAGGAGGAACATAGTAAATGCACCATGATGACTATCTGCTCTTTTCTTCTTGCAGCACCCACTGCAGTCAGGATTGCAGTTATGGGTCTTTTATAGACCCTTAGCTTTCTGAACTTTCACCAGGCACTACACATGGGTAGGTAGAAACAGCACCATGACAATGTTTGCTCCAGGTGAGTGAGCTTGAACACAGGATCAAGTTCCTGTAGCCCAAGGCATGCAAACACCTCAGTACAGGAATGGCCGTGGGCTTCATGAGCACACTCAACCCATCACAAATGCAAAATAAAATGCTCTAACTTGGACTTCTTTGACTGATATGTAAGCTACCATGTTATGCCTCACATCTACATCAAGCTAGCAGCCACCACATAACCAGCACCTGTAGCTCTGCAGAGGTGTAAAATCTTGTTAAGCTGCCCTAGAACATAATGGTGTGTCTCAGTCCAGCATTTTAAATGTCTCACATTCAAAGGCAAGGAAAGCAGTGTCTGAAACCTGCCTCATGACTGAGCTATAAACCAAGAAGAAAATACTTATGCACAAATCTGAAATAAAGATCAGCATGACACCTTAGAGGAGCAATGTGGAGACCTTTAGGGGCAACAGTAATACTAAGGAAGCACCTCTGAGTCTTTGGTGGCCAGGAAAATGCAGATGCTCTCATACGTGGTCTTACTGCAATGAGAACAGAGGGAATAATAAAGATGGTCCAACCGGACTTATTAATTAATAACTTTGATGGGCAAGCTAGAAAACAGTTTGGTTCATATTCCCCAAACCTTTGTGCACATACAGTGGTTCTAAAGTAAAAATGAGGGGGCAATATCACTAAAATGTTCCTGTTACATTTCCCTGATTCATGACCAAACAGTGCACATCTGTGCAATGCCACTCTGGGAAAATACTGTGAAACCTGAACAAAAAGGTCACACATTTACACAACAGACAGAGGCCACGTCCTGAACTTGCAAACATCCAAGGGGAGGCTGAAACCATCCCATGAATGCACCACTCATTTGCTGGCATCCCTCCCTCATGCTCGTTTCCCCAGGGAGGGGATGGCTGCAGCCACGGGCTGTAAGCATTGGGCAGCGATGCTGGAGTGCCCACGGGGTGCTAAAGCACTTGTCTACCAGGTGTGCAGCACCAGGAGCCTGGGACTTGAGTGGTCAGGTGGAGCCAAGGCCTTCTCATGAAAGAAAATTCTCCAAAATTCTCCATTTCACTTTTTTCACTCTCCCTTTCCATGCAGAGGGTGCCTGCCACTGCCAAATCTGCAGACTTTGTGTGCTCAGAAGCATGGCAGGAGGGACTTTCTTCCTTTTTCCAAGGGGAAAAGCTTAGTGGTTGGGCTTTAAATTGCAGTTGCATGTCAGTTGGAAGAGCTGGATATGCATGTTTCAGCTGTGACCAGCTGCAGGTCAGGAGGCCAACAGAACTCACAGCAGCACTGCAGGGGATGACTGGGTCTCACTGTTGGCGAGAAACAGCCAGACTTCAAAGATGATTTGAGGAAAGTGCTGGGGCCTTTTGGGTATTAAAGTCTTGCAAGATCAGCCTGGGTAACCATGTCAGTAAAAGCATATGAGGTTGGGACGACCTCAGTAGCAGCATCAGTAATACCAAACACAAGTAAAGAAAAACTAGAAGCAATGGGTAGAAAGAAGGGGAAACAGCTGGAGGGGAGGGTACCACCTAAAAGGACCGTGCCTCTCTAATCACCTTCAACAGTTACCAGCTCATGTTCTCCCCAAGCTCTGAAGAGCTGCAAACGTATTTCCCCATGCCTTGAATGTGAAAGTTCAGGCATTTCCTGGTAATAAGCTGAATCTAGCCAGCCAGGACCAAAGCAAAACACATAAATGCTGTGCAAGCTGCATACAAACAATATCATGCCCACCTCTAGAAACACAGAGCCTGGAGAATTCTACTTACTGGTTACATTCTCCTTCTTAAAATCTGTAAAAAGACAAGATGTAAGGAGGGGTTGTTCAGTATGTGATATAATTGGGTGCTTGCTTAGGAGCATGTTACGGGAGAGTTTTCTCAATTAAGTGACTTGTTTCTTTGCACTGGCACCTGAATGGCAATTTTGCCATCAGTAAGACTGATTTTGGCAATGAGATTGTTATGAGCCAGGTTTTCTTTACTTCAGGGATTTTTCCCACACCCCAGTCAGACAAGAGAGGCAAACAGCCAATGCGGCCGTCACAGTTCCGTGCACAGGCACTGACAGGTTGGTATCCACCATCAGCCTTTAGTTGTGAATCGTGGATCGCAACCTTGCCCCTTCCTCACCAAGAACACAGCTCTCCAGACAACGCGCAGCACGTGCCACCTTACCGAAGAAAGGGATGTGGGTGCAGGCGCTGGGGTCCTGGTGCAGGCTGGGCAGCTTGTTGCATTCGGGAAGAGCGAGCAGCATCAGCCCTGGCTTGTAAATCCCCTTCTGAGAGTTTTCCTCCATTGAGAGCCATTCCTTAAAGCAGTAGAGATCCTTTACAGCAAGGCAATTCTCTCTACATTATTTTGCAAGAAACAGTGAAATACAGCAGTCAATGGCTTGATAACAATGGCTGCACTTAGCAGTGGTGTGCAGGGGTTATGCAGGCTGACAGAAATCCATTAACTGGGTTACGCTTCTTTAAGCCAGTCTGTCTGGCTTTTAAACCATAAAGGAAACTCTGTACAAAATGTAACATCTTCCTTTCAGAAACCCACAAATCTGCATTTTTAATGAGACAGGGTTATGCTTAAAACACAACCAAGTCACAGTCTGTGAGGAGTTCATTCCCATCTTTTCCTACAGATTTATTGCCATCTTCTACTAATAAACATCATGTCTGGAAGTTATTTTATCATTTTTCAGTACATTCTAAAAATCTCACCTATCCTCTCTAAATTGTGTATTAAAATGTCATCTATTAAACATGGGAGGCAAGCTCCAATTCTTAACCTTCTTAAACTAAATATTTGCCTGTATTTTTAGTCTCACAGAATCACCCATCCAATTTTCTTCTTTTCTCCACAGACAACTTTCAGTCCCTTTTTTAATCTGTCAGCTGTCTGCTGCAAAACCTTTACAGCGCCTGGTAAAACAAGAGACACAACTGTCTCCTACCTAATAATGTATTACCTCCATAACAATGGGAAACATTCACTGACAAGAGGTGCTTTGAATGTTTAAATGTTCCTTAGACCAGAAACTGTTTGTGAATAAGGCCAAGGCAGAACTATCTACTCTAGGGGAAAAAAAAAAAAAAAAAAAAAAAAAAGAAAAAAAAAATAATGAAAAAAGTACCATACTAGAAAGTTTGAGGATTTGTTGCATTAGTCAATTTATTGGTGATTTGCTTATTTATGCACTCATTCTTGAGAGCCTGAGTTGCAAAACCAGCTCTGAGGTCATGTCCAGAGGTTACTTTTGCTGAGTTCAGCTGAAGTCCTTTGCAGATCCACATCCTTCCCAGCCATCACACAGTGGTGCAGAAAGGCACTGCTGAGGTCTGTGGTGAAGGTTTTCGCAAAATTCATCACCTGGTAGGCTGATGCAGTCTCTTTACTTATACAACAGGTTTGGCAAGAGCAGATAGCCATGAGTTTCGGTGATGACTACCAACACTGAAACCCTTTAAAGCATCTGAAGGACAGAGGCCATTGGGAATTCCACCAAGGCATCGGTTTTCTGCAGCAGCAGTGGATGCTCTTCAAGTCTGCAGGCTGAAGCTGTTGAAGCCCAGCTGCCCCATGCTTGGTTTTAGCCAGTGCTGGTTTATTCCTTCCTCATTTCCATGAAAGCCAGAATGCAGCCAGATGGTGTAATTTATCTTTTTCTGTGTTAAACAACATGTGGAATGGGAATGACCTTCTGAAGTAAAGAAACGTTTAGCTAAAGAAATGAGAAAATCTTGCATTTGAAGCTCTGGCTGACACTTGGGAGATCTGGATTGTGTTAGCTGCCCTCACCCCTGAAGCCTGAGCATCCTCAAACAAGCCCCTTATTCAGTGTGCAACTGCAAAATGCGAAAGACCATTCCTCTGCAATCCTATCCACTCCAACATTAAAGGCAGGTTATCTTCACCCAGGAACCCATCCTGGGAGCATGGTGAGGCAGCAAGAGGGAGGGATGGTTAGTCTCCTGGAGCTGGGTTCATACCATTGTTATAACACTTAATCCTGAGCAGCAAGAGCTTGATGAGATCATATGCAAAGATTACTTCAGATTATTATTAGAAATTTTGTGTCATATAAATGACAGATGGACAAAGAACAGTAGCAGCAGAAGAGGACAAGTGGGCCAGTAGTATTTTAGGGACCACAAAGGACTGTTTAAGAGGAGCTGGGAACACATAGATCCAACCAAAGTGAGGTGTTTCCCAACATGAGGCTGTTTCCTGCAACCTCTTCACTTCATATCAGCAGTGGTTGAAACAGAAGTTGAGGTGTTTTCCTTTGCTATCACAGAAGCAGCCAGTGTTAAAAGGCAGATGTAATCAAGAATTACGAGACAAGGCATCACTTTCCCTTAAAAACAGGAAAATTCTAATTTTAATCAAATTGCATCTTTATATGAAGCAAAATTTTCCCCATGTTATTCTCTTCTGTTTCAATTTATCTTGTTTTACTCCCTGATTATTTTTATAAAAGCTTTACTTAGTCTGTTTGTCAGTTGTTATTCTTGCTAGCTAGCTTCCAAACCAAAATGAACATAAAAAATTACATGGGGAGAGAAAAAAATGATACAGAGAATAAATAACAAGACAAAAACACATGGAAATATGTTGAGGAAAATATGTCTCTCAAAAAGTGGGAGAATTCTCCAGCCTTCGAGATAGTTAAATAATTACTCATGAAACATTTCTGCAGAAAACTGGTGTAGTCCAGCCACTTTCTGTGAGAGGTATGAAGTTGTCAGTAACAAGCAGAAAAGATAACTAGAAAGTAACCAAGACCATGCGAAATGTGTTCAAGAGCCCCCAGAGGCCTCAACTGTTCAGAAGTATGTATTAGATGTCTGAGTAATCAAAAGGAGTATTGGGTTAGGGCTTTGGAAGAACTGTCGTCCAGCTGATGTGCTCTGGGAACAGGAAACAGGAAGCATGCCATTCCAGAGCTCTTGTCATGAAGAAAGCTGCATTCAAATCTGCACTAAAATCACGGGGCAGGGGGGGAAACATTAAAGGGAAAAAAAAAAAGTAACATTGACTCGTGGTTTTGAAGAAAGATGATGCCGGGCAAATCCATTAAGATTTAGACATATTTGCAAATGCTGTACTTGTTAGCTCGAGATCAAGTGGAGATTTATACTGATTTTTATCACTTCAACTTCAGAAGTGCCCCAGAAGTCCAGGTCTTCAGTCAAATTACCACAAATTCTGGTCCTGTAGGGCCACTCATGAGCATGGGTAAATGAAGCAAGATTCAGATCTCACTGAAATGCCTCGTGGAACATTATGCAAAATCCTTAGCTGACAAATGTGCTGTGCATGTGTGGCTCAGATATAAATATTGTCACACATCTTGAAAAAAGGCAGAGACATCATGTACTAAAGGGCACAACGACAAAGAGCAGAATAACAAGTCAGCAGAGAGGAGTCTGCCAGCAAAAAGCTAGTTTCAGTACTTGACTGCATGATTATCCATGGGTACTTGCACATACACTTCTTTCATAGGATGCATGCCACTACTGTGATGGCAGAGGAATACCAAACAGCATAGGAATCAAACAGAGAACACAATGTATTATCAAGTTTCATACTGGGATTTTCCTCTGTGTCTTTGTTTTAGAGATATTAAAGGAGGAGCAATCAGAAAGGTCCAGATTACAAAGACAACATGCTGCTGATTGTCCTAAAAATCCCCTACACAACTGGAAAAATAATTGCCAGTAGACTACATCTGCGCCAAGTCCAGCTGGCGATATGCTTGCCATGTCTGCAGAGAAGACTTGTATTTTAGTTGAAACATTAGAGTTGGGGCTGCTCTCCCAATAAATCTGAACAATCTGTTTTAAAATGCAGTTCAAGGAGGAAAAGAGCAAACTATTGCACTTAGGCAAGGATGTTAGCTGCTGAAACATGAAGTGGGTAATGACCAGGCAACAGTCCTGCAGGGGCTGAAAATGGATATGAATCACTTGTGGCCAACAGTTTTGTTAGGAAAACAGAAAACTTGACCCCAAGACATCTACATGGGGCTGTCCTCTGCAAGGCATATCAAGCAATCATCATTCCTTTATAGCTAACACTAACAGAATCTGGGCTGGAGGCTATATATATTTAGTGCTTAAGGAAAGATGAGGAGCAGAATCTTCAGAAGCTGGAAGAGCAAGAGTTATGAGCAGAGCTTGGAAAAGTGTGCTTTATTCTACTTTGAGAAGCTGCGGAATATGTAAAAACTTGCTGTAAAGAGAAAGAGAAGAAACTTTTCTCCGTGGCCATGGTGGGAGGACAAGGAGCAATGAAGGAAGGGCTGCTCGGGGGATTGCATGGGGAGGGCGCAGTGTCCCTGTCAGTGGGACGTGTTGCACAAATATCTGTCAGCAGTGGATTAGCTGTAGTGGGAGATGCTTTGGACTCCTCAGGGTCCCTGCCAGCCCTGTTTCACTGCACATGTCCCTGCATATAGGAGGATACAAGAGCCAGATGGAAGGTTTGGTTTAGCAGGTACAATTACACTGGCAGTGTCCCTGGTGTCATCTTTTTTTGTTTCATCTTCATCGTGGTGCGAAGTGCTGAATGACTAGTGTATTGCCTTGGCCAGATTTGTTGCATGTACTGTGACCATATTTAGTCAAAATTCCAAACAAGAAATTACTTCTGATAGTAACAATGAGTACATACTGACCTAGTAAAATTTAACCAATAGCAATATGTTAATTATTTTAATCAATTATGTCATTCAAATGGATATTTCTTTTCAACACTGTCCACTAAAAACTTGATATAACGCAGACACCTGGGCCTCAAAGTCAGTCCATACCCTAGCAATGACCACAGAGAGAGCTGGTCAGGTCTTCTTTGTGTGTACAGAGTAGAGATCAAAGGGAAAACCCACGCAAACTTAGAGGGCCCATTTTCACTCAGTGCTACTGAAGGTCTAGACAGACCCTCACCACTCCCCTGATGCCTACACAGCCCCATGAAATGAAAGATGAGCATTTTTTTTTATTTACCTGCACACTGGTTTTGGAGCTGGCCCAGCTCCCGAGGGATTGCACTCCTGGAAGATGTAGTTACACAGCAGAGACTCAGCGGCCGGTTGGCAGAATGAACTCACCATTTTCAGTTCAGTCCAGGCAGTGTGCACAAGCAGCTCTTGGGTTGCCTCTGGGTCAGCATATGAGGAGTTGAAGAAAATAAGAGCATTCTTCGCCAAGATAGCAGTACACACCTCACCTCTGTACGTGCTACAGTAGCCTGCATCACCCTTGTACAGCTTGCTGTCGAGGACAAGAGCATACACACACAGTAAGCTCACAGCCCTAAACACCAGCACGAGCAGGATGCCTAGGCTCTGTTTCTGAATAATGTGGCATTTGTAAGGCTAATAGAGGGCAGAGGAGAGGGTAGATGGTTATAACCACTAAAAACAGCTAATACCATCCACAAATGAAACTTCTGCAAGGAACCCTGGTGTGAGCTTAGGGCCTTCCTGGCAAGCTCCAGGGCTAAGGCTCTGGCCAAGGGTTGCTAGCACTAAAAGTGGGCAAAATGACTGAGCAAGCATGCACAGCTATGACCTAGCATGGCCTCTCACCCTACCCCTAGGCCCTAGTGGGAAAATGCTTTGTTTTCCTGCTTCCCTGCAGCAAATATCAGCTGTGCTGCTTGCTGCACACCTGTGACAACTCAGGATTTTTTGCTTTGTTGGCTAGCAGCAGTTTAATTATGGATGGACTCGATGAGCAGAAGCCAGGTGAGTCACACCCAACAGGTGCCAGGAAATTCTTTGCAAGACCAGACCGCGAACCTCCTGCATGCCCCTCCTCAACTCCTGCACCACTCCTGACCCTGCCTCTCTTCCATACATGTTGAGGTGGGAAGCACAGAGAGGAGGAAGGCACAAGTCTCTGCAGTTTTCCTTCTGGTGCTTCCCTGCAAGCTCCATCCTCTCCTCTCTTCACCATATCTTCCACTTTGCAAACTCCTGCTGCAAAGCATGGGGCCAGAGCTATGCCAGAGCAATAAAAAGTACAGCAGGGTTAGCTCCTTCATGGGCAGTTTATTTATCTTTCTGGCATTTTTCACGTCTAACAGGAGACAGCTGTCATCCCTCCCTCCCTTCTTCCCCATGGCCACAAAAAGGGAGCCGCAGGGCGAGGGCACGCACAGGTCAGCCGTGCTCCCAGCAGCTCCCACAGCCACCCCACGGCAGCAAGGTCTGCAGGTGAGGATGTGCCCTGTGCTCAGGCAGCCCATGGGATGCAGTGCCCTCGGTGCGGGGGGAAACCTGGGAAAACAGTCTCCCCTGTGTGCAGAGGACAGCCGAATCGGGGAGGGACGAGGGCTGGGTGCAGCTGTCCCCACCGCTCATTCGGTCAGTGTAATTAGGGTCAAGGAGTTCAATTCACGACACGCCAACCATTTGGAGTAGCCAGCAGAGCTATTTGTATCTTTGCCTTTTATTTCTTTGTCCTGTCTAAATAATCATATTGTCAACCATGGGGGTTCTTGCTGTTTTTCTTTGGAAAGCTGGAGGTACACGTATGAAAGATTATACAGGATGCCCAGATTTGTGCTTTTCAGATGCCACTCTCTGCAGATGACACTCTCTGGCCCTGGTTTAGTTGCACTGCTTTGGGCTCCATGCCGGCTTTTTTTTAATTATTATTTTTTCTGAAGCGTCATATTGGCTGAAAAGTACAGGAAGGCGCCAGTTCCTTGAGGTAGTACCAAAACGGCAGTGATGCTGTGACACCCTGCATCACCCCAGGTTCCACGGACACCCCTTCATGTGACACAGGCACCCCCCAGCATCCTGTGCCGGTCCCACAGCCTATGACATCTCCCTGGTACAGAGCAGGTGCCCCCACAGCACAGCGCTGCCCCCAGAGACCTGCCTGAGCTGTTCTTGGCGTGGCAGCAGTCACGTTATTCACATTTTCCTGATGATGCCCATTGTGCTTAATCTGAAATGTGTGTCCTTTCTGTGCCCCAAGAGGCAAAAGAGGGCACACGCATGTATGGGGCAGCTGTGCAGCTCACTTCAGTGGGCTGCAGAAGCAGCCTGACAAGAGTCACCGGCGCTAATATTGTGTTTCCTTGCTTTTTTCAAACCTGCAGGGAGACACCGACCAGGCTGCAATGAAGAAGCAGCAACGTGTTTCTCCCAACGCCTTGTCACAGAATGGGAATTTCATGCAGCAAATGTTGAGAACAACTGCAGAACAGAAGGGCTGAGCATTTGATCACTGTTCCCACGCCCGTCACACCTACACAAGTGCAGGTGTAAGGCATAAGTCTGCCATCGTCATCAGGTAGCCACTAAATCACTTACAAACTTCCGGAATCAATTTTGCAAGCCCCTGTGAGGGAGGCAAGGGTCTTCACATGGAACTTGTGTCAGCAGAGTACAAAGCCATTTGCTCAGACTTTCTCAGACTCTGCTCTTTCCTCTGAGGGCCAGTAGCTCCCAGCCCTCCTCCGAGGCTAACCCTTTCATTTTCCATCCAGACCGATCTGTTAGTGCAGCACGCAGAAATATGCCAGGACTCTAAAAAGAAAAAGCCAGCCAAATTGTGCAGTAGTCGAAAAAATACTAAGAAAAAGTGCTTGTCTGATCACGTACAAGTGAATTCACTCATCCATAACTCTGCTTGGAACAAATGTCTAAACTTATCTTACCCTAATCTGGTGACCTCTAAAACAAAATACATTTATTGGCTGTGCACAGACAGGAGTTTAACTTGTAGTTAAGCCTTTGCCTGTAAATTTATATCGTCAATGAAGTAGCAGATGTGTGAACAGCTTGCTGAAGTTGTGAACTCTGAACAGAATTTAGTCGAGAATATTCTGCCCACTACCATATTTTAAATACCCTTACTGATGTGTGATCCACTGCTTGCTTGATACAGAAGCACCCTTATCTACCTAGGCCCAGTGTCCAATTATGTCCATATAAAGGAGCTCAGTGTTCCCTTCAGGTAAACATCTGCATGCTGGGCATCCAGAAACCCACTCCCTTCACTTAAGCCAAATTAACCAAATCCCTTTGATTCATCATTCTTCTCCTCCCTGGCCCAGAGGAAACTCCCAGGCAGCCACACAAAGTCATTCTTACCTCCACTCTGCTGAGAGGCACCAGACCCAGGAATTGAGATGAGGCAGGAGAAAGAAGAAATAGAAAAAACATCAGTGACACTTCATTGCCCCCTCTGAGATGTGGGAGCTAAGATTTCCATGCTAGGAAATCTGTCTGAGACCTGTAAGCTGTCTGAAAATGATGCAGCTAAATTCTGTCCTTATTTTGCACCTTCTTGTGAGGAAGAAGAGTTAGGTGACACTGGACGCTGTACAGGGAGAGGGAATGAAGAGGAGGAAGTGCAGTTCTTGTGAAAGTATACTGTTCCACAGTAGACCCACACTTCTACCATTATACTTTGGATCCTACATAACCAGCAGACAGCATCCTCTGTTTAAGCCACCCACGCGTTCATTACTGGAGGCAGCAGCTGTAACAGGTAGGAGAAACCGGGGCTGGAGGGGTAGTGCAGGCACACAGCCATGGCTCCCCGCTTGCAGCACCGCAGGGAGCTGGGCTGCGCCAACATGAGGAGGAGGCATTGAGGATCGGCCAAGCACTGGGACAACTCTGCCCTGGGACCCTGGGACGAGGCCAAGGCAGGCTCCTGCTCAGGTCTAGGGGACTGCTCCCCTCTTGCTGAGCACACCCAGCTTGGAGGAGGGAAGTGCTCCTTCTCCTACCAGCCTACAGCACCTGCCCTCCCCACTGCATTTGCAGCTCTGCTTCATGAGGCAGAGACTTGCCTGGGCTGAAAGCAGAAGTGGGGATGAGAAATACAGTACCAAGTGCTGAGTCTCTTAGGTGGCAGAGCTTGCTGCTAGGTTTCAATGCCCAGTGTAAGAAAGGGTATGGTTATTTTCTCAACAGAGCAGAAGCTGAGCCATGGAGAGAGGGGCAGGTGCATGCCTGGTTAACAGCAGGACCAATGCTACCATCCCCTGTGAAGTCTCAGCTGATTCCTATTTCCTCTAACTAAACCCCCAAGAGGGAAGGCACAAGCTGTCACCTTTCTCTTGGTGTGACAAATGCTGTCAGTTAGCTCAGACTATCAGTATTTCTCCTCTTTAGATCATTTCTTCCCCATGTGGGAGCTGTTCCTGGGACCAGAGGTTATCCCAGGCACGGCGGGGTACTGCTCTGACAGCAACATCCCTGCTTTCTGGATGCAACCTTCTAAGCCAAACTGCTCACGAAAGATATTTTCACCTTGCTGTTAGGTGATACCAACCCCGGGTCATGGCCACAACTTCCTCCAGATGGATGAACTTACCAAGCATGCTTCTGGGACACAAAGTACAAGACAGCATCAAACATTCAGGAAATGACAGCTGTGCCAGTCTCCAAAGGGTAAGAATACATGAGGAAATAGCCTGGCAGGGGATGCACTTGTACTCAAATTTAGCCCCCTGCACACTATCAGCTCTCCAAGTCTTTCCCTCCTCCTCCAGAGTACTTCACACCCCTTTTCCCCAGCAGGTAAGCTAGAACTGTGATTGCAGTTAATTAAAAAATTAATGACCCCTTCTTTCCCAGCATACCTGAAATGCTGACGGTTGCTGCGGCTTTAGCGGCTCCAAAAGTTTTGCTGTGTTTGTTCGTGGCAAGGCAAGTGAACAGGCCAGGTCGGGTGACATATACCTGCAGTCTGGAGTCAACCACTCTGTCCTTGACACTTTCCACTATAGACCCTGCAGAAACCTTAGAAAGCAAAAAGCCCCATGAAGTGATACTTCCAACAAAGGCAAACAAGCAAGCCAAGGAAACACCTAAAAGACCCAGCCCCAAGCATTTAAATTGGCAGAGAAAGATGTGGCAAGCAGATAAAAGTGGCAGACAGCTAAAGCTGCTGACGTTATTTTGGTGCTTTCATAGCAGCTGACTTCACAGACAAAAGCAAATGTTAAAGATTTCTCCTATTTCACACTTCAGCAATACTTTTGCAATTAATTTTCAGTTCCAGAGGGCTGTAGTCTCAGTTCTGCTCATGTAATTGAGCTGGTTAATTACTCCAGGACCTCTTCTAGTAGATTGTTTGCCTATTCATGCCTTAGGAAGGAAGGGCACAGGGTGGCTTTGTGGACCCTGACTATACAGAGGGAGAAAATAAAATAGTTTGGAAGTTGTATATTCTGGATTAATATAACCACTGCCATGCTTCCAAAGTAGTCGTGAGCAAAACAAGCACTCTGGCTCTGGCACTCTGGCAGATATCTGATAGATTTTCTTATCTCACACCTGGAAATACAAAAGGGGCTGCAGATGTGGTGATTTTGGCCAGCTCTTTTCCCAGGTCAGAAATTCCCAGGTAAATGGGCTTGGAGCCTGCTGATTTTGGCCAGTTGGGCTTGATTTTATCCTCAAGTCTTTCCTGCTCATATGACATTTATTAAAGTAGGAGGACATGGTACACCAAGACTCTACCTTGCAAAGGCAGTAGGAAGGAGCAGCATTGCCTGCTCTACACTTCATACTGATAGAGAGCATAAGAGTAATTTAAGCAAGATGTGGTTGCCCATGGATCCTACTGGTGCAACCTGGCCGTAAGGACAGTGAGAGTTGTCTGCTTGGATCCATCCAAGCAAAGCACTCTATCTACAGTTCTATCTGAGATCTGATAACCCTGGAGGTTAATAGAAACATGATTTCAATGGGATCTGTGTCTGTTCCCAGAGGTATTAATAGTGGTAATCGAAAAAGCAGGAAGTGATGTGTCAGTATTGTATCACATCTTTAGTAAGCAGGCCAGTTTCTCTCTGAAAAGAAGACCCTGAAAATAATATATTTGTTTGGCCTCACTTAAGCTCAATTTTGAGTGGTGGTGATGGAATGTGCGTGGGAAGAAATCACTAAATAACCAGGCCAACACAGTTATTGTAAGTATTGCTCCAGCGGTGGGTGGTGTGCCAGTCACTGTGCAAATGCAGGGATCAGGGATATTTTTTGGCCCTATGCTGTGAAGCCAGTGCAGGTGTATGGGAGCTCAGGGGATATTTTTTCACAACTTTCTCTTTTGTTACAGTGCTGGTCAGATTTATTTTTGAAATTTTTTTCTCCCCAGAAAAAACTCAGCACTAAGACACCGCTGGGACCTTCCTGGTAGAAAGGAGGAATTTCTTTACAGGTTGCCCCTGCCTCCCAGAATCCACCCAGGAGAGGTGGCTGCTTGCCTTGAGTGTTGATCTGGTCCTCCCTCTCTCATTACTCCTCAGGCCTCGGGCATACCCTGTCCTTTTAGCTCCCCTCCCAGCAGCGATGGACTGTGCCTGGTGAGCATGGAGAGCCAGGATTGCTTCTCCCAGCTTGGGCTGCAGGAGGAAAAGGGCACTCGGGTAACTGCAGGCATTACGAGCAGTACAGATGGTCACATGCACCATGGAAAACCATAGGTAGAAGTGTCAGGTAGTTGTGCCGAGGACTTCCACACCAGCCAGCTGTTGTTTTCTCTACTGGAAACCTCAAGCCATTCCTTTGTGTTAATTGATTCTCTTCCCTTTTCAAATACGTTCTCTGAGATTTTGTTTCCAGCAGGTCCTTTTTTAGCATTTAAAACGTCACCTCAGCCACCACCAAAGCAGAGACCTCTTCACATCTCCAGACCTGGCTCACTTATTCTTTGCAGTGCAAAAAACTACAGTTTAAGGTCCATGATGTCCTGCTGTGCGTAGTGGGAGGCAAAGGAATTGTGTTTCTGTTTAGGTAGGCAAGATAGCTGCTGCATAGATGCGTTTCCATCCTCCTTTTCAAAGTCAGCTCAATAACCTCAGCAGATTCCCACTCTTTAAACCTCAGGACAATTACAGGTTGGCATCCCGAGACTGTAATACCTCAGACACTTTGGATCTCCAAATGAGTCACCATTACTTGCTCGTGACCCAGCCCTCAAACACATGCACTCCAGTCCACTCGCTTCCTGGCCTGACTTTCCCAGAGATGGGGTCTTTTGAAGATTTCCTTACCATGCCTAAAATGAAGCAGTCTGGAGCACCACCCTCCTGGGACTGGGCTTTGCCTTGAAGACAGGAATAGGGCAGAGCAGATCTGACCAGCCAGGCAGTGGCCCTGGGCAGGGGCTGAGCATGATCTCACACAGCTCTCTATGGGACCACCACACCGGTGGGAGCTTGGCAGAGCAGGGGTCTGTGCTCCAGAAATACTCTGCCCTTGCCAGGCACCCCAGACCTCCCAAAAGGTTTCTCCCCCAATGGGAAAGAAGTCTTGAATGAACACCCACAGTTGTCTCAAAATAATTATCACCAGAAAATACTGAGGACCCACGGGGCTCTGCAGAGGCTGATCTGATCCTTTTCCTGTTCTCCCTAGCAACCTCGAGGGAATGTAGAGAATCAGCCCTAATCAGACCAGAGGACACAATAAGGTTTAGAAGAGATAAAGAAAGCAAGACAGCCTGCAGAGTAGTCCAGGTTCCCTAAAAATATATTTTAATACATGGAAAGAGGGGATACAGACCAGGATGGCGATAGCCTCCTGAAGTAAGGAACTTGAGCAAGAGGATTTATTAGTCCTGTTGGACAAGCAAGTCCACAGGAATGGCCATAGCCAGCCAGTGGCAAGAAGGACTTGGGTTTGTGAGGGGGTCAGTGAGAAACAGCGAAGACAAATTGCCAGCCTGCACAAAGTGGCTGCCCCACCTGCTTCCATAGCATCATGCCTTGGGGCTCACATCTTTAAAAAAGCTGTTGAAAGACCACAGAGAGCATAAAACATGTCCACCATAACTGTATGAAGACTGGAGGAAACCCATGACAGGCTCAGGCTGCAGAGCTGCAGATGCACCACTCACTCCCAGGGAGGCAATATTTGGTGTCAAGCGGCTCATCAGTTCAGCTGAAGAGGAGGTATTGCAATAGCCTACACATGGACATGAAGGCCAGATGAATTCAAAGCAGACATCTATTTTAAATGGTCAGGATAATTAGTAATTAGACCACGGAACAAAGCAGTGGATTTGCATCTCTTGGTGCCTGCCACTGAAAAGGCTGTGCAGTTCTTGATGATGTGCTTCTTGACGTGCTTCTAGCCAGGAATAAATTGGTGACATACTTCAGTGTGTCACCTAGGTCAGTCTAGAAAATTTCAGATCTATTCATCTGCAAATATGCCGTGCATATATGCTGATCCATAGGTATTTTGGCTCAAGACTGTTGGGTCTACCTAACTACCTCAGTTTGTGTTATTTTGTCAAATAAGCAATTTTGCCATGTTATTGTTAGAAGAAAGGAGAGGAAACATGGAAACATGGCTGCAGAAATACTTAAACCTACGACAAAGTCCTAGAAACTCTGACTCAGAGTAAGGTTATAAGCATCTACAGCATCCTTCATCTCAGGCTTTCCAGATCCTAACAACTTAACCCACACAACACCCTGGAGAGGGGGAAGAGTATTTTGCAGAGGAGAAAACTGCAGCAGGGAAGTGAGGTGGGCTCAACCTGATTGCATAGTGAGGCACTAATTAAGGCAGGAATA